GTCTACATTTTTTTTAATTTTTGTCTTATGTATTTCAAGAATATAAAAGATTTAAATTTCTAGAATATTTTTAGTGGTTCTAGTTATATGATAATTTATTATGTCGTATTCATCATCATTTCTTCAACACTCCTATAAACTATGTAAAACTTAAATAATACAATAGAATCAGTATTTTTAAGTTTTTCTTTATAATCCTAAAAATCAGCTATTACGCTTTGTAATCTCACTCAGTTATCAATATCGATCAATATCAAATGTGCACAGGCACAACCGACCTACTTACTCAAAATCACCAACTGCTCCACCATAATGTTTATCATTAAAATATCTTTCATTCATAATCCTAGAATAATACAGTACCAAGTGTATTATACCCAGTGTACTCTACCAAGTGTAGTAACATATCACTTGAACACTCGAAGCAATTCACACGCCTATACAGCAATTAGCTTTTCTTAACAAATGCTCTTTTTCTTTATTCGAAACTAGCTGTAACTTTGTTTGCGAGAATTAGAATAAAAAATATTTTAAACGACCCTTATTCAAATAGACTTGTACAAGCTCTTTTAAATTGTATTTTTTTATAATTGTTCTGTTGGGTTCGGAATGTTATTATCTGCAAGAAACTCAACAGTTATTTTTTTCAAGTTATTATGTACAAAATAATTTTACATTTGTATGGGCACTATGACTATAATTAGTATTGAGTTCTATTTATATATATTTTTAAATGAAAAATAAACAAGCAAACATGAGCAAGTCACAAACTGCACCAGTTCACGAGTATGATGGATACGCTAGCTATCAATGTGCTCAACAATATTTAAGGGGAATTCAATGACTCGGCACATCATGCCGCCAAATTCTTTTGGGATACATTTAATTGTAAATCGTAATTAAATAATGATCATCCATCTTTATAAACTTTCACATTTCCTAATATTAATAAAAGTTATATTGAAAATAAATTTAAATATTTCACATAAGTAGATTTCATTACACACATTAGATTAGATTACATTAGCAAATTTATCTTTGAAATTATTTCAATTTATTAAATAATTTTTATAATATTTTACAAACAAACATTTACCTTCTCAAAAAACAAATAACTAACAATTTCATATGAGACTAACATGCATATCGATTGCAAAAACTATTATTAAGAAAATGATTAGTTGGCTATGTTATAAGCATATATACAAAAATATAGATAAATTGAGAAGCTACATTTTAGGTCGCTGAAAATACGGCACGCTTGGTTCTCTTATAACATTCCGAATATATTTATATGCATCAAAAAATCTCAGAAACTCCTCCTTTTAATAAACCCGCATCTATATGACATTGTTGAACTGTAGAGCAATGACGGTATAAGAGGTGATGAAACCGATACACGTCGGTACTAATGTCATGTCGATGCTGACAGAGCCAAACACGTTAGCGGATATCGGCCGAGTCACAATACGTCGAAAAAGATTCCGTGCCTTTTTGTACTTATTCTCATCTGAAAGAGCAGTTCAAATTTGAAAGAGAGAAGTATAGTATAAATCGTATTTTTTAAATTGTTATTCTACAAAATTAATTGCACTGAAAAACGTAAACGATCCAAACAGTAAGGATGTGCTGTCATATTTTCCAATGAACGGGGTATTGTATGTGAAATGTTTTAATAGACAATATAAAATCTGGATATTGTGTTTACTATTATTTTGTTTCGTTTACTATTTTCACCTACACATTGGTAATATTTTTTTTGTATTAATTATTACTTTATAAAAAACGTACTTCTCCTTTAAAATTACTTAATAATTAAAATTAATTCTTTAATTTGATAATTGAATACCATTGGACATATTACATAGTGCCATTTAATTTTAAATTAAGCAAAGCTTGTACTATTATTGATAATAAATAACTGAGATATCTATATACGTTAATATTATTATAAAACACACCGTTAAAATACTGTAATCTATTTATTTATTAAGATTAATTTGCAATTGTGTTGTTATTATTATTTCTATATTAACTTACTTATAACAGATTGAACAATATACTTGCACAGCCGTTGTTTCAAATTATTTATACTATTTTGTACTTCTTGTGCTGCCTTCGATAGTATAAAAATTTGTGTCATCAAAATCATAATTGTTATGATGTAGTTGTAATACTCAATAGGTTTCAATTTGTAATTCTACAAAGCAATAATAATATTTTTAATTATTACATCAATATCGATAACTTTACTAGTGCAGCGCGAAACGTCACCTGATTCGTTGCAGCAATAATCGCATACGATATTGTTATATATCGTAACTGTGCCGCCACTAGTATAAAAGTTAACTGTAAACGTAAATAAATTATTACACAAAACAAACAAAATAACTTTCACATTATTTATCAAAATTGAATGATTCAAAAATCTACAATATGTCTATGTGGACGTTTATTATTAGTGAAATAAATAGATACTTACTACTAATCCATAAATTGAATTTGATATTTTGGAACTCTCAGTAATATATGTATATGCAAAAGACCAAGTGTCTATGTGCCTTCTACTGTCTTGTGTCGAAACATACGAGGGCGATGCAATGTTATTCGGGTAAATCTTTTTGTCTATAGAGCGTGCAATACAATGAATTTGTTCAGCGATTCCAAACAGGACACAGGAAAATGATATACTTTCTGTGATTGATCGGAGATCGCTCAAAAGCAAGATTAATTGATTCAAAGTGTTGAAATGCATTGGCATACTACGTATACGGAATACGGGCTGTATAAAATTAAAAGCAAACGTTAAAATTCTCGTTAAGAGACAAATTGTAATTAGAACATTTATTTTATTTCGTTTACTTTTAATATTATTATTATATAAATCATCAAGAACCAAATACTGTGCGGTGCACTTTATATTGGAAAGTAATATTTTAAAATGTCCATTGCTACGCCACGATGCTAATATTATAATACTGGAATTAATAAAGTTCATAATACAATACAGGAACTGGGTTAGTGGTTGTGTCTTATAGTATCCATTCATGTAATTAATAAAGTTAAAAGTCATTATCGTCAGCTCTAAAAATATACGCATTACAATAAAAAATTTTGCGAATGTTGAAAATGCATCGTAATTACGATAAATGCATAGCACATTTTCAATTTTTATCACATATTTCATTATTTGCAGTAACATTTTGTTTGTTCGTTATCTTTTACCTCTTTGCTGAGCTGTAAACAAACTGACGTTATTAGCTGTTCAAATACTTAACAGCTAAATTGTTGGAATTAGTGATAAATTATTATGTGAGTTATTAGTAATAATGAGTAATGACTTCCATTTTTAATATCAGATAGACAGGTGGTGGCGGCGTGGTGGGCCCGGTCGGGCAATTGAGTTCTATAAAATATAGTTGAATACAATAATAACTAGCTCATCCATTATGCTTGTGATCAAGTGCTATATGTAGAAACTAATCTACACTAGTTACCACGACTCATTATGTTATTAAGTAATGGGGTATTTATATATTAACTTTTATGTTCCAATGATATGTTAAAAAAAACCATCAATCAATAGTAAGTATATTAAACTCATGAACTTGTAACCTTGCCGATATCGATACTTCTATATATTTGAATTGAGAAAAAACTAAAAAAATAAGTATAGTTTAAATAATGTTTAAAATTAAGAACATGTTGGTAAAACATTAACTACTGCTGTAAATAAAATATTATATTGATAAATTTATTGGGGCAATTTTGAAATATTTTTCTACTACCACTGTATTACTTTCCATCAAGTAGGCCATTACATCAAATGCATAAAAAAATCAAAAAGAAAATTGATAATGGTTGATCAAGATACGCAATGAATGGACTATAAGTATTGTTTGCTGGTATTATTCATAGATAGATAGATACTCTTTATTGTTTTCTCCAAAAGATTACAATAGTAAACTTATTATTATATAAATAAGTACAAAAAATCATCATATCAGCCTTTAACTATCCACTGATAAATATAAACTTCCCCCTAAAACTCCCCCGGTTTTGCTAGTAGTTGCCACGCTTGGCAGGTGGATTGGTAACCGCAGTTAGACCTCGGTGATGTTTTAAGAGAGACGTTGCTGCCCATCACTCGCCCTTCCTTAATCGCTTTTTACGACACCAACGGGAGAGGGAGGTGTGGCCTATTCTATGCCGGGACCACGGCAATGGTATAATTTGTCAGTTTGCACCTTTTGCAATGTGCCTATAGATATTGGGCCATATCATAATTTGAAAATCTTTATTATGGGTATTGTTTTCTCTTTCGTTTTTTGCTTCTATGGCTGTCACCCCTTTCATGTTTATAGCACGTACGATGCACTGCAGTTGCTCAGATAACATCAAAAATAGCAGCGAATATACGTAATGTATTCCATTGTAATCCGAACGACACCAACCAATTAAACATTTTGAAAAAAGTATACAGTATAGAGACATACCAGGAATATCATATAATACGAAGCCACTTTTTACTGTTTCTTAAATATATTTCGAACGAATAAACGAACATTTAATGAAAATAGACGAAACATTTAATGATGTATAATAACTAAAATAATGTAATTACATTACTTATTATACATTTTTTAATAAACTTTTGTGGAACAAGTTATTAAATTTATTGAATAAAAATCCTTTGAAATTTTGCAAAATTTTCTCTATCAAATAACTAAATTATTTGTTGTTCGAATTTTATCGACAATAACAAACTTAACAATATAAAATTTTCAACTAATTACAAATAAAGTTACAAATTCCAAATTTAATATATTTTATGCATATAAACCAATTATATTAATGATAGAAATATTTGTAAAATTCTAGTAAGTTATCAATACTTATTGACGCAATAAATTTGTATTGAAAACTTATTAAAAAATTTGTATATATAATATTTATAGAATATTTTATTTAAATTTTATTAATACAAAGTTTGTCTGGTAGAGAATGCTACTAGCATTAAGTTCGCTTGTGTATCTTATTTTCTTTTGGTTAATTAAGGTATTTAACTAAATAATACATCAATTTTGCAGTAGCCTTATACTAAAAAAAAACAATAAATGCTGGTAGATAATATTTTTGTTGTTAAAAGTTTCGTTAACACACGTTATATTTTATTGTAATAAATACCGGTTTAACTTATGTCTAATTAGAGGCGTCAGGCACGCGCTCGCGTTACACCCGCTCATGATTACGGATTACGAATTGATTCCGAAACTAATCAAACTTTTTCGATCTCGATCGAATTACACGTAAATAAAACCGGTAGTTATTAAATTAAAATATTTCTGTGACAGCATGCTGTTTTTATTTATTATACGACATTATTGAATTGAAGTGCGATGATGGTATACGATGTAACGAAAGCCACAAATGTAGGCATCAGTGTCATGTCTATAGCGACGGTGCCGTAAGCTTCAATGCGAACTGATTTCATATTCAACTGCCGTAATAAATTCCTCATCGCTTTGCAGTCGTTCTCATCTGCAAAGGCAATATTCAATTAAGCAATCAATTTATTCAGATTTTCGACAATGCAATAGATAGTACTATTGCAAAAAATGCAGTTAATTAAAAAATAAGTTCCAATGTACGCAATAAAATTACAAATTAAGTTATGTATAGAACATAAAATAATGGGTTTTTAATTCTTCTTTCGGTAAACAATGTTTGAAACTTATAAAAAAGCAAATTGTTTAATACCAAATTTAAAAAGTTTATATTTTTATTAAGTAATTGTATTTAATTTTTTATTTACAAAAATTGGACAAGGGAATGGCACACTATGATTACAGCTATAATAAAAAAAAGCACGATGTTACCACCTACAAGAAAAAAATACATTATAATATAATGTGAATTGCCAGTAAAAAAGTATGAATATGATCAAACAAATCTTACTATTAATCGAAGCTACTATTAGTCTGCATAACTTTTGTCTTAAACAATTTTTATTATTTTGTAACTCTTGCGCTGCTCTTGATACTATATACAGTATGACCATCATTTCCACGCAAAAAATATAATACGCGTAGGATTGATTTATTTTCATTCCTTCCACCTATAAGTATACAGTATTGATGTTAATAAATTGAATACGATAATTATGATTTATTTTTCCTAAGTATCATTATTTTGAAAATTAATATTTAAAAGTATTTTGGAAAATTTTAACTTAAAGCCGCCCCTTAGCTCGCCAGGTGTGCGGCAGTCGACAGCTGATAGAGAAATAAACTTTTTAAAGTTTTCATATTTATATTAGTAAAATTTTAATATAAGAAAAACAATTAATTATCAACTTTAAATTTAGAACAGTCAAGAAAATGTAAAAAAATATATATGTACTACAAAAAATATATGCATAGTCCAAATAGATGGCATATTACTGTAGTATGTAGTTGTTAGCAACGATGTTATATAGCTTCCTATTCTTATATCCTATCCTTGATGGGATTTAGTTCCAACTTATTTGATATGTTATTTATCTATAAAAAAGTAAAAAGATTTAAAAGTGTAGTTATTTCTTTTCCACGGCTTTGCCCACGTATATCAGTATATAAGTATGCTATGTTTAAGTTAGGATGTAACCTACCCGTGTACCAGTTTTAATTCAAATCCATTCCGTAGTTTTTGCAAGAAAGAATAACAACAATCTATCCATTCTCAGAAACTTCTGTACCTACAATAGTTGTACGAGTTCATCATGTTTAATCTGACCTGTAAATTGACGAAAATCGATGCGTACAGAACTCCAATGTAATACGAAGCAGCTGTCATCAGCATAACGGTCAACTGGAAAGTGAAAAATAATAAAATATTCGACGAACTTGTTGATGTGCAGTATAACATATTTATTTAATTTTGTATACGCGTGAAGAGTACCATATTGTACAAACATTAAAAAGATAAATTTACCTTTTCGAGGTGAATATAATTTTGATGTAGTGCAAAATAACCTTGGTATTTTATTTTTTTAGATTTTACTAAATAAACAATCAGGTAACTAAAAACTTACCTGGGTTCTAAAAATAAAATTTACCAAATTACAACTTTTAGCTATATGCATGTAAGCGGTAGACCATATTGCAATATCTGAGTTATTTTCCCCTATTTCTTTATAGGCATTTTCTTCTGCTTCATCAACTTCCACTTCTGTGGCTATACGCGTTTTCTTTTCTATTGCATATATGATATATTGTAATTGCTCAGCTAACACATCGAGAATACTAGCGTATATAATGTATTCTATTGTATACCGTATGTCACTGATCATTAGAACAATTTGAAAGTAAAAAACCATATCCAAAGGCATGCCAGGAATATCAAAAATACCAGTGACACGGAAATAAATAATTTTAAATAATTTCACAGTGCAGAATATACCGACGTTAAGAAACATCTTATTTCGTTTCTTTAATATTTTTTTAACGAATGATGTATCAAAGTTATAAAAATGAGAATTACCATTGAAATATGTAACTAGATCGTTGAATTTATCACTACTAATGAAAGGGAACAAAATAAATATTGCGGAGTTGATATGTGACAAAATGAAATAGATATTGTTATATACTCTCTCATACTTATAATAATGAATATAGATAATATAATTAACAATGATACACGAAAGTTCAAATATTATATGAATTAATACCAATTTTTTCACTATTTTACTATATTCGTTGTAATTTCTGTAAATACATACAACGTTTTCTATACGTGTTATACATTTTAATATACTAAACATTTTAACTTTAATAATTATATTATTATACAATTATATGATAAAAACAGACACTAATGCCGTTTGATATGAACTGATAAACTAAACCATATGTGCATATTATGATACTGCTATTATTAATATAGTAAATATTAATTTGTTACTTTACAGGAGAATGTAATATCTTTAATGGGTATGAGAGTGTCAAGTTCATGATATGTTTGGAAATTTCTAGTTTCATGTCAATACTATTAATAAATTACATATTATTAAATATATTTGTTTTAGTCATTGTGGTCAAACAAGTTAAAAAATTAATAAAATTATTGATTTTAGTTTTATACTGGTTCTTCTTGGCAAGTATAATTAAAGGTTGGATTATTCATAACGATGAGAAATTATATGTATTATTTATATACAAATTTTACAGTCAGTCATAATTAGAAAACATGAAGTCAAACCCTACAAGCAATATTCGTTCACGAGTATGATGGATGAGCTGAATTTTTTTTTATACCACTAAGGTGGCAAACAAGCATACGGCCCACCTGATGGTAAGTGGTTACCGTAGCCTATGAACACCTGCAATACCAGAGGTATTACGCGTGCGTTGCCGACCCTGAAGAAACCTCTTTACCCCCCTTTTGAAGAACCCCATGCTGTACAACTATGATCATTTCTATAATTGCATACACAGCGTTTTATTTAAAATACATATGTATTTTAATATTTGCTATAATTTTTTATAGTGAAGGGCATGTTATGTCCCTTACGTAATTGTCGCAACAAACTCTGAAAAAACGATCAGTTTTCATCAGACGGGTCAGCAAATAGTTTGACGTTCAAAGTTGTACAAAGAACTAGCGATCCGTCGTACTTGTATCTTCGCACGGATAGTCAGAAAGATAAATTAGTGCAATAAAGTGCAAAATAAATAAATAAATATCCAATTCTAGTAGATAAGTCATCAGTTTGTTTATTATTATTATCAATATTTAAAATAAAGATCTTACATTTTTAAACCTAACTTTATAGCTTGCTTGTTGTCTCCCGCAACTTTGCCTGCGTCAATCAGTATGTGAAGCATCTTATATGTTAAATTAGAAAATAATCTATTCATGTACCAGATTTCATTCAAAATGGATATGCCGTTTAAGCGTGTTTCAATAAAAAATATCTAAAAATCCAAACATTTAGGCATCGTTCAAGATATAAAACAAGTTCAACTATTGGTTTTATCCATATTTATTTCTCTATAGTCACTAAGCAACTATATCTTACTATCAGAAACTATATTTTATATATAATTCCCAATAATTAAATTGTGTTTCACAGAAAAAAAAAACTAACTTCAATTATGTCAAAACCAGTTATTTTGGTTTAAAAACTGGACTATTAAGTCAATTTTGATAAACTTTCTATTAGGCCAATCAGTAAATATATCCTTTCAGATAAAAAATAGAATTTTCCAAATAGATTTATACTCGTAACTGATGCAGTTAGAAGGTAACAAACGTAAAAAAAATACAACCGAATTGAAAAATTTCTTCTTTTTAAAGTCAATTAAAAACAAAGATGACTTCAAATAAAATTTTATTATTAGCTACAAATTATAAGTTGCGATAGAAAGATATATTTGCTATGATGATGTCTCAACACAAACACAACAAAAATTATATAACGTTGTTGAACTGCAAAGCTATAACGGTGTAGGAAGTGAAAAATGCGATGCATGTAGGCAGCAGGCTCATGTCTAACGCGAAAGAACCGAATGCATACAAGCGTATGGGATGAGTTGTCACCAATCGTGTAAAATCCTTCGTCGCCTGGTATTCGCTCTGATCTGGAATAATAGATTTATTACATTACTGATAAAAATTTAACGGAGTTGTTGTTATTGTTATCAATCGGTAATTGATCACTGCTGAACATAGCCTCCCCCATAAGGAACGTAATACCAGCAGTTGCCACGCTTAGCAGGGGAGTTGGCAATAGCAGTTTGGCTTTTAGTGATGTTTTAAGAGGGGCGCTGCTGCCGTCTCTCCACCATAAGCTCCCTTAGTCGCGTCTTACGACACCCACGGAAAAAGAAGGAGTGGCTTACTAATACCGGCCTTATACCGGAACGTACTCATTCGTGTTTCTACCGTGAAGCAGTTGTATTTGCATGGCTGTGTTTCGGTTTGAAAGGTGGGATATGGAGTGAATTTACAGGATATAACAGAGGAATAACACCTGAGTCCTCAGGAATGGCAACGCATGGTGGGTATCATAGGCGAAACAGTATACTCTGTTATGTCCATGGTACTGCTCATGTATATAGGCGACGGTTACCACTTTCCATCAGGTGGACCGTCAGCTTGTTTGCCATTCTAAGTTGTATAAAAAAACAAAAAATAAAAAAAAACGTACACGGCAAATTAACGTAGTACGTTATACTAAGTCTATGGGTAAAACACTCCTTTAAGTTAATGCTAGTGATTTCAACATCACTTAATATTTCCCGCTCTTATAATGGAGATATTAATATTAAAACAGCTTAACTAAAATCTATTGAACCTAAAAACAAATGCGCTTTTTCTATACATCATCATCATTTCAGCATTATCCGTCCACTACTGGATATAGGCTCCTTCCCCATAGACTGCCATAAGGAACGGTCCTGAGCCACCTGCATTCACTGACTCCCTTCAATGCATTTGAAGTCGTCTCTACATCTAGTAGAGGCTCATCGTACACTGCGTTTGCCCGTATGTTTTTCTATATATACTTACGAATATGTGTTAGTGAATTAATGAGGAGTTTACTGAGCCTCCGTCGTAAGATGTCAGCACTATTCTGAACCCGTTGAGCCGCCCGTGACAAGACGTACAATAGGTATATTAACAACACGACTTCTACGATATATACCCATGACATAACAGATAATAGTCCAGAATCCTGTTGACAATTTATATTCTGGTTTTTACTATTGGTGTAATAAATAAAGAATAAAATTTCCGCTTAATAAGGTTAATAAATAAAATATTACCTTTAAGCTAATAGTTATTGTCTTGTAAGCTACAAGAACATGATACAACATTGTAGATGATATCATTATCATCAGCTGTAACATACGAAAGTACAAATATATGTAAATTAGTATTAATTATTTTCTATTTAATGTAACAAGTCATACAGAAAGTGCATGCTAATGTCCTAACCATACACATAAAATGTAGAAACAATCACTTATACATACGAACAATATTATATGTAGTGTTGACTGCGTTCAAACTATAGTATGTATAATTGATACAATATAGTGTTACATTAATAACCCTTTAGATATAATGTAATATGTGTGTAATATATAAAAATACTGAAAGACAAGGTTGTGGTACTATGGTTAAAGCTATAAATGTGACATAAAAATAGTATAAAACATCATTACAAACGTATCTCTAAAATATATTCAAACCTGCAAACCGAAGATTGAGTTCAACAATTGAGTAGCTTCTTTGATTCTTATGTACGCTGAAGACCATTTATCAATTTTAGTTTTTACTTCTTGTGTATTTTCTAAATTACGATTCAATTCTATAATTTGGTCATCAGGCACTTCTGTAACTGACGCTATATTTTTATTAATGAATCTCGTTATGCACAGCAGTTGTTCATTTATCACGTCTAAAGAATATGAATATGCTAAATATTGTACTATATAACGTACATCACACAAGAAAAAACTTATTTCAATAAATAACATGAATAGCGACGAGAATTTGTAATAAAATACTTCGAAATAGAGAAAAGTAATCACTCTTAATGTAATAAGAAATATTAGTTTGATGAATAATTCCATGCGTTTCTTCTCCGTATTTTTATTGTAAATATTATATTTATGGAAATATTGAAAATTGTCGCTGACTTTACTATAATATATTTCAAAATGTTTGCTGGTAAATAATGCCAATGTAATGAACATTAATGAGTTTCCATTAGCTAATACAAAATATGAATTTTCAATTACTGAAGTCATTATGCAACATTCTAGATACAATTTGAAATGGAAAAGTATTAAAGATAATTCGATTATTATTCGTATTAGTATTATTACGCGCCATATTCTTTTATAGAAACGGTAGTTTCTGAATATGCACAAAATATTTTCTAGTCGTATTAAAAATTTTATTAATTTGTCCACCATTTTAAAGATGTTTTTCAACACGTCTATCAAAACAGGTGGCGTCGTTCATATTACACTGTATACATCAATTTGTAGACTACGTAAATTAATAAATCCATTAAATCGTGGTGACATGCATAATATTAAAAGTGACTTAATAACATACTCAGGTTAATCTATTAGCAAACATTCTGATTATAAGTTGTTATATTGACTAAAAATTATTAACTTTTTGAGTTTTATTTATTGAATATTCTACTTTCAAGGATAGAAAATTAGTAATTCAATAGAAATTCATAATATAATTTTATTTCCTTCTAAAAACGGTAACTATTATCTATTAGATAGACACAAATTCTTCTCTGACTATTACGAATATTGATTATTGTGTATTTAGTAGTCAACTTTCTAAAAAAAGTTGAGATTTTCTCATATTATATTCGAGTTAGCATATTAATAAAATACTTGTTGCCGGGTTTTACTTTACTTTCAAATCTTAAGTTTCTCACTCATACTTACAAAATTTTTCGTAATAATTTTTACCATAGAATTGTTACGAAAAACTTATTGCAGGGAATCTTAGATGAATAAAAGTCGGAGATAAAATCTCTGCTACTTATGTAACGAGATGA